GGTTATTGTATGTAGGCCAAGCTCTGTGCTAACATTCTTTCTGTGTTTATTATACGTAGGCCAGGCTCTGTGCTGGCATTCGTTCCGTGTTTATTATTATATGTAGGCCAGGCTCTGTGCTGACATTCATTCTGTGGCTATTGTATGTAGGTCAAGCTCTGTGCTAACATTCTTTCTGTGTTTATTATTCGTAGGCCAGGCTCCGTGCTAACATTCATTCTGTGTTTATTATACGTAGGCCACGCTCTGTGCTAACATTCGTTCCGTGTTTATTATACGTAGGCCAGGCTCTGGGCTAACATTCGTTGTGTGTTTACTATAAGTAGCCAGACTCTGTGCTAACATCCGTTCGGTGTTTATTATTATATGTAGGCCTGGCTCTGTGCTGACATTCATTCTGTGGTGATTGTATGTAGGCCAGGCTCTGTGCTAACATTCTTTCTGTGTTTATTATACATAGGTCAGGCTCTGTGCTAACATTCTTTCTGTGTTTATTATACGTAGGCCAGACTCTGTGCTAACATTCGTTCTGTGTTTATTATATGTAGGCCAGGCTCTGTGCTAACGTTCGTTCCATGATTATTATATGTAGGCCAGGCTCTGTGCTAACATTCATTCTGTGTTTATTATTATATGTAGGCCAGGCTCTGTGCTAACATTCGTTCTGTGGTTGTTATATGTAGGCCACGCTCTGAGCTACATTTCTTCTGTGGTGATTATACGTAGGCCAGACTCCATGCTAACATTCGTTCTGTGTTTTTTATATGTAGGCCAGGCTCTGTTCTAACATTCGTTCTGTGGTTATTGTACGTAGGCCAGGCTCTGTGCTAACATTCATTCTGTGTTTATTATTATATGTTGGCCAGGCTGTGAGCTAACATTTCTTCTGTGGTTTTTATACGTAGGCCAGGCTCTGCGCTAACGTTTGTTCCGTGGTTATTATACTTAAGCCAGGCTCTGTGCTAACATTCATTCTGTGTTTATTATTATATGTAGGCCAGGCTCTAAGCTAACATTTCTTCTGTGGTTATTATACGGAGGCCAGGCTCTGTGCTAACATCCGTTCTGTATTTATTATACGTAGGCCAGGCTCTGTGCTAACATTCGTTCTCTCTTTATTATATCTAGGCGAGGCTCTGTGCTAACATTCATTCTGTGTTTATTATATGTAGGCCAGGCTCTGAGCTAACATTCTTCTGTGTTTATTATTATATGTAGGCCAGACTCTGTGCGAATGTTCGTTCTGTGGTTATTATATGTAGGCCAGGCTCTGAGCTAACATTTCTTCTGCAGTTATTATATGTAGGCCAGGCTCTGTGCTAACATTCGTTCCGTGTTTATTATACGTAGCCCAGGCTCTGTGCTAACATTCATTCTGTGGTTATTATATGTAGGCCAGGCTCTGGGCTAACATTCGTTCTGTGTTTAGTATAAGTAGCCAGACTCTGTGCTAACATTCGTTCGGTGTTTATTATTATATGTAGGCCAGGCTCTGTGCTGACATTCATTCTGTGGTTATTGTATGTAGGCCAGGCTCTGTGCTAACATTCTTTCTGTGTTTATTATACGTAGGCCAGGCTCTGTGCTAACATTTGGTCCGTGTTTATTATACATAGGCCAGGCTCTGTGCTAACATTCGTTCTGTGGTTATTATATGTAGGCCAGGCTCTGTGGTAAGCTCTTTCCATTATCTGTCTCAGTCTTTACAGTCAGCTTTTTTAGGTGCAGTGACTCACCCAAGATCACACAGCAAGTGATGGTATCTAAACTCAGGCCTGTCTAACTCTAGAATGTGTGTTCTTACCTTTTGCAGGAATTATCACAGGTGTCCCCCGCCTCTATAAATGTACACACCTTGGTCCATGCATTTACATGGAAGAGGCACTCAAATCTGTTAATCTTGTTTGGTCCATGACTCTGCCTGGACTTCCCAGTGACTACTTGCTATCAGCCACCACTGCCTTATCTGATGGGTGCAGGACTGTGCTGTCCGTCCACAGAAGCTTCTGCCCTGATCATTTCCCTGTGCTGTACTCACAAATGTAGGTTGGGGACTAGGGTCTTGTAACCTACCATTAAGGAGCCTTGGTGTCACAGTGGTTAAGCGCTTGGCTGCTAACCGAGAGGTCAGCAGTTCGAACCTACCAGCTGCTTCGTGGGCCCTGGAAATCCTATGGGGCAGTTCTACTTTGTCCTCCAAGGTCCTTTTGAGTTGGAATCAACTCGAAGGCAATGGATAACCCCGTTATCTAATGGAGGAGTATGCATGTGTGTTTATGTGTTTGTGTGGCAGTCATGAATATGTAGACTTTTCAAAGATGCAAGTATCTCCTGATCTGGCTTTATTTAGAGTTCACTTATTAAGAAGCCCTGGTGGTGCAGAGGTTAAAGCCATCAACTACTAACCGAAAAGTCGGCGATTTGAAACCACGAGCGGCTCCGTGGGAGAAAGAAGTGGCAGTCTGCTTCTGTAGAGATTTACAGCCTTGGAAACCTTATGGGGTCACTATGAGTCGGAATCGACTCCACGGCAGTGAGTTTGGGTTTTTTATTAAGTGAGCACAGTTGCTTACTTTTATCCTAATTGTTTTGCTGGAGAGATCATCCTCAAAAATGGTGTAAGATAAACACAGCTTTAAACATGTTTGTCCTCTTTGACCTAGAAATGCCCCCTTAGAATCTATTCTGAGAAAATAATCAGAATCATGGGTAACAGTTTATACGTAAAGTTTTTCATTGCAGCATTGTATATATTCATGAAAACTGCAATCAATCTAAATAGTGGGGTATTATGAATTGTAATTTTAATAACCTAATAAAATGTTCATAATATAATGCCAAGTAATAAAAGTAATTACAAGCAATTACTCTCAGTAAAGAAAAAATTTTCAAGGGGAAAAGAAAGAGAGGAAATACACTACCATGTTAGTGGTGGCGCTCTCCAGATTGTGGGATGGTTGTTAAAAATTATTTTATTCTTTAAAACCAAACCAAACCCAAGTTGTTGCCATTGAGTCTATTCTAACTCAAGACACAGTAGAGCTGTCTCATAGGGTTTGCAAGGCTGTAATCTTTATGGAAGCAGACTGCCACATCTTTCTTCCGTGGAGGGGCTGAAGGGTTCGAACCAATGACCTTTCAGTTAGCAACCGAACACTTAATCACTGTGCCACCAGGGCTTCTTGTAAGTAGGGATAGACTGCATTAAATGTTTTCAGTTCAGGGCTCTGAATATCCTTGTGCACGTTTTTATTCTTTAAAATTTTGCGCAGAAAGATCATTACTCAAGACGATAGGTAGGAGTGTGGAGTATCTCAATGGGATGTGTCAGCTCTTGAGTGTTGTTGTCATTATGTGCCCTCAAGTTGGTTCTGACTCATAGTGACCCTAAGTACAAAAGAAGGAAATGCTGCCCGGTCCTGCACCATCGTCACAATCGGTATTGTGCTTCAACCCATTGTTGCAGCCACCGTATCAGTCCATCTCGTTGAGGGGCTTCCTCTTTTTCGCTGACCCTCTACTTTACCAAGCATGATGTCCTCCAGGGACTGGTCCCTCCTGACAACACGTCCAAAGTACATGCAACAAAGTCTCGCCATCCTTGCTTCTAAGGAGCATTCTGGCTGTAGACCACTTGAGTAGACCTCTGGATTTGTAATACAGATAACAACTGACAACATGGAAGACATTGGTAACATTTTTTTGTAATTATTTTCATTTTCTTTGTCTTTTCTTGCAGAGAATGTTGATATCCCAGGCCACATTTTCACTAGAGGAATGATAACAGCTGTTTTTATCTTGGTGGCAGTTGTGGGCATAGTGACCGTGTGTGCCATTTATAGAGTTGACTTGGCTTTATTTTATAGACACTTAATTGGAAGAGATGAGACATTAACAGGTAATAGATATCATAATGTTGGGATTTCTTATCTCATGCTTTCATTAAGAAACCAAATAAAGGAACATTAATCTTCATCTTATTTGATTATATTGTTGACTTAATGTTTGAGAGAGGTCTTCCATGGGGAAAATTGCTCTGTGTGTATCATCTATTATGACCGTTGCTTGTGCCATATTTTCTTGCACTTATGTGTTGCCAAAAATTGTTCTCTCATTGTTTCGTGTATGTATGCTGTGTCTTCCTAAATATCCTGTAAGATGCTTGAGCCCAGGAACTGTATAGCTGAATACCCTCGTACACACACCCTCCAGGTACCCCATGTGGTGCATTCGTTCAATAAAGGTCTTTTAAGTTGAGTTCAGTTGTATTATGATTTATTATTTTAACCTGGCAAAGCAGGCTGCATGATGTACCTGCAAGAACCCTGAACTAGAAGCCAAATGATCCTAGTCTAGTTTCCTAGATCTGCCACTTTTTATCTACTGCTACTATTTCTATTGATGCCTTTGAGTTATGGTGTTGGTGAAAAATATTGAATATGCCATGCACCGCCAGAAGAATGAACAAGTCTGTCTTAGAAGAAGTACAGCCAGAGTGCTCCTTGGAAGTGAGGATGCAGAGACTTAGTCTCACGTACTTCGGGCATGTTATTAGGAGGGACCAGTCCCTGGAGAAGGACATCATGCTTGGTAAAGTGGAGGGTAAGCGAAAAAGAGAAAGACCTTCAAGGGGGTGGATTGACACAGTGGCCATATCAGTGGGCTCAAGCATAGCAAAGATTGTGAGGATGACGCAGGACCAGGCAGTGTTTCGTTCTGTTGTATGCAGTCCCTGTGAGTTGTTCTGTTGTTCTGTTGTCCCTGTGAGTTGGAACCGACTTGATGGCACCTAAGAACAACAACTATTTAGTGACTGTATGCCTCGGTTTTCCTATTTTTAAAGGTAACTAGAAGTCCCAATGTCCTTTAAGATAATTACGGAATAATAAAAAGCAGTATAATCCATTGCACTTACTCTAATTTTTAGGTAGAGAAAACCCTCAAAATCTAATAAATTTTATAGCAGAAAGCCTCCCTCCCATCCTTGTCCCACGTCTTCGTTTCCCGTTCCCCAGTAGATAGACTACCCAGGCTAATATGAGTATAGATTCTGATTGCACCCCTTCTTTAAAAAAGGAAAGCAAATCTTGGCATATTGTGCACGCTCTTCTGAGCTTTTGTTTGCTATAGCTCGGATACCTTTCCATAGTTATGAAGAAGCTCCTCGTTTTTTAAGGTCGCACGATGAGAACGTATCATTGTTTATGTAGTCTCACTTTGATGAACATTTGAGCTGCTTCCAATCTTTTGTTATTATAGAAATGCTGCAATGGATAGGTTTGTGTGTTCCTTTTTTCCACATATGTAAACTATATCTGAAGGAAAAATTTCAAGAACTGGAATTTTTGGAAATACAAAGAGCAGGTGGGCTTGTTGTTAGGAAATATATTGCCAATTTGGTCTCCCCAGAGGCTGCACTAATCTATGCTACCACTATCAGTGGATCCCAAACCAAACCAAACCTGTTGCCGTCGAGTTGATTCTGACTCATAGCGACCCTATAGGTCAGAGTAGAACTGCCCCATAGGGTTTCCAGAGAGCGGCTGGTGGGTTTGAACTGCCGACCTCTTGGTTAGCAGCCGAGCTCTTAACCACTGCGTCACCAGGGCATGCCCACAAAATGTTTTATCAAACTTTTGGATTTTTCACAGTCTGATAGGTGAAAAATTGTATCTCAGTGTAGTTTTAATTTGCATTTCATTATAAGAAACTATTTATTTAAGATCCATTTGTATTTCCTTTCTCAAAATGCCCATTCATATCCTTTGCCCATTTTTCTATTGGATTGTTGGTCTTTTGTGTTCATTTGTTTCTAGGGGCTATTTACATTTTAAGGAGGTTATGAACCTATTTTCTATTATGAAACGCAAATATATTTGTTTTGTTTTTTAGTTTGCTGACTGTGGTGTGCTGTGAACCAGTTGTGTGTGTGTTTTAATGTAGTTAAATTTGTCTTTTCTTTCATGGCTTCTAGATTTGAGTCCTAAGTAGAAAGACCCTCTCAATCTCAATTTATAAAGGAATTCTCATTTTTTCCTATGAGATTTTTATAGATTCATTTTTCACATTTACAACTTTTAATTTAATAATATAAAATTAGCTTTGTGCCTGCGTGTGTGTGTGGTTTCCTCTAGAGAGAGATGCTGCAACACACGGGGCGGTGGGGGGCGGTCTGTATTTGATGGTTTCCAAATGAGTTGCTTTGCTTTCGTTAACCAGTTGCTATCAAATCCATTCCAACTCATGGAGACCCATGTGTGTCAGAGTAGAACTGGGCTCCGTAGGTTCTGATTCAAAATGTTTAATGAGAATGCTGTAAGTTGAGTTAAAAAGGACATTCTGCCAGACACAGGAAATATTGTTTGATGAACCTGGATGTTGTCGAGGATGCTGGGCTAGGCCTCAATCAGATGGGCATAGCATATCTGCTGAGCATAAATGATGTGTGGTACCATGAAGAACATGAACCTAGAGTGGTCTCATCCCATTAGATCTGAATAAAGGATGTGATTATATCTAGCCTTTAACTCAGTAGCAAATTCATTAACCCCAATCATATATTCAAGCATCAGTCTAACTCCTCTACCATCGAAATGACTGCCATGGGATAAGAATGGACCCTGTCCCTACCACCACCCCACCCCACTTCTTCTACTAATTCCAATTAGCATCAGTTGTATTATTTAAGACCTGACTCCAAATTTTCTTCTTTCAGACAACAAGTCCATGGGATCACTCCTTGTTCTCTGACCAGGTTTTGTTTGTTTAAGTTTTGTTTTTGCATTATACTGTTTTGCCTCTGCTAATGTATTGTTTGTAACCTTTCTCAAGTTATTGCATTTGTCTGCTTTTGTCTTCTCAAATAGGTTAGATGAAGCTGGAGGTCAGAAATGTTTAATTTTTTAGTTACCCAATTAGAAGAACATATTTCTCCTAAATTTGTCCCTTAAATCATCAGATTACTGCTCCATTACCGTGAATTAAACAGAAGAGATGTTATCATTAGTGAAAACCTTTTAATGGACCAGAACTTTCCCTGTTGGCATCTAGAGTCATATAATATTTTCAAACATCCTATAGCATTTGCTTCTCTAGCGTATTGTTTCCACGGCTTCTAGTGCTTCTTCCCACTGTCCCATGGAAACTCTCAGTTTGGTTTCTGTCTTCGCTTGCCAATGGGTCATTTTGAGGGTAACAATGGGGATGGTGGTTGAGTTAAATGACACATGTAAGCCAAGGTGAGATTTACTTTCCAGTCGTGGAACAAGGGCACATTTGGGCTTCTTGGCCTTCTATTGCCTTTATAGTTCCTTTAGCGGCCTGACCTATCTCATGTATTTCTCTCATGCCCTCTATGGCGTCAAACCTTGGGACTCTTAAAGTAGATGCTTTACAAATGTTTGTTAAGTGGTTGCTTGATTAGCATGGGAGGTTTCACGATGCTACGTTTGGTTCCTTGTTTTCAATGATTCTATTCTTCATTGATCATGATTTTCACTCAAATTTGTACTTAATACACTTATATTTATACACTAATTGAAAGAGTAAAACTTATCTCCTAGATGGAAAAACATATGATGCTTTTGTGTCTTACCTAAGAGAATGTCGACCAGAAAGTTACGAGGAGCACGCCTTCGCTGTGGAGGTTTTGCCCAGTGTGTTGGAGAAACATTTTGGGTATAAACTATGCATATTTGAAAGGGATGTACTGCCTGGAGGAGGTAAGAAAGAGCATTCCAGATAGAAAACTAATGGTGATTTTGTTTTTTTAAAAGATTAATAGGTCAGACTTACAGATAGGTGTTTTTCTTAAAAAACAAACAAATGAACAAAGTCTTCTAAGCCAGAAATACTGCCTGAATCAAAATAGTAAATCATGAGACAAGCTCCCGACTGTGTTTCCATGCTTCTGATAATGTCTTCTCTTGGACCTTGTTCATTCATTCTGTTTTACAGTTCTCTGAAAATTTGGGGAAACGAAGTAGACATTCTGTTTTCTGAATCAGGTCTACATTGATGTTGTCATGAGGCATTTATCTAGAAATCCCCCTCAGTTACTGAAAATACCTCTTTTGACAATCTTTTGTAAAGCAGAACCAGTGCCTAACTGAATACCAGATCTTTTGGGCACAGGTTACTTCTTTCCAGAAAATGCTTTTTCTTTATTACGTTGACACTATTGAGAAAATTCAAGTGGAAAATAGGAGAATTGGATAAATATGAGGAAAATGGTGATTCATGTCAGATTTTAGTTATAAATTCAATTTTTTAAATCAACATATGAACAGCGATGACCATAGCACGTACGTTGAAGCAAATTACTGTTAGAATCAAAAAATTTAGTAACCTTTCCATTTTTTTTCTGAAGTTTCAGAGCAAGCATTTGAAATCTAGTGTCAAATTATTTTGGATGCTGGTGTTTTTAAAAATAAACATGTCTTCATTGTTACCACCATTCATTTATTCATCCAATATCCAACCAGGTGCTAAGCTCTGAGCTGGACATTGAAAATCTAGCAGTAAATTTTCCCTCCTATATTGCAGACTAGAAGGGGAAAACATTGCAAATTAGGAAGGGAAAATATACTACTATTTAGTAATAAAAAAACTTCTCAAAAATATAATATGCTAAATTGTCACATGCACACAACAATAATGCTTTTGTGTGTCAGTTCTTTGTATCTAAGAAGGCATCTTGTCAGAATGCATTTCTGCTTGGCCTGACATTAATTTTATTACATTCCATTGTCTTCTATTTGTCATTTTGAATATAGATTTCTTCTTAATTCTTAAATAAAAACAAAGCACGTTTAGTTATATATTCAAGTGTGATTCTTTGTGATTTAAAACCTCTATTATTTGAGAATGGAGACCTGGTGGCACAATGGTTAAGAGCTCAGCTGCTAACCAAAAGGTTGGCAGTTTGAATCCACGAGCCGCTCCTTGGAAACCCTATGGGGCAGTTGTACTCTGTCCTATAGGGTCGCTAGGAGTTGAAATCGACTCGACGACAACGGGTTTGGGTTTTTTAAATATATATATATTATTTGAGAAGCGTTAGAGGTCTAGAACAGGGGTTGGCAAACTACCACCCACAGGCTAACTCCGACTTGCCACCCTTTTTGGAACACAGCCACACTTACTTATCTAAGCCTGCTTTCACACTACAGCAGCAGAGTTGAATAGTGTGAAAAAGAAGCTGTGGATGGCCTGCAGAGACTAAAATATTTGTTAGCTGGGCCTTTACAGAAAAAGCTTGCCAACCCTTGGCCTACAATAATGGTGGTTCTTCTCTTTAGTTTTGAGTCTTTACCTTCTGGTTTAAGGGTGTTCCTCCATGCCTGGGAGAGGCAGGATAGCATGATGGTTAAGAACGTGTATTCTGGAACCAGACTGTCTGGGTTCAAATTCTGGTTCTGTCACTTACTAGCTGTGTGACTCTGGGCAAGTTACTTAACCACTCTGTGCTTTGGCTTTTTCACCTGTAGAATGGGGAAGATAACAATACCTTCTTTGTGGGTCTGTAATGGTGATCAACTGAGTTAATATGTATTTAGAAAAGGGTGTGGCACAGAGGAAGTGCTAAATAAGTATGCATTATTAGTGTTATCTAGATGATTGTTTTTAAAAGGCTTATAAAATTGAAGATAAATAATTTGTCTTAAAGAGAAATGTATTAGTAAAGTTGAGTTGAATAATATAAGACTACACAAAATAATTTTTATTTAATATGCACCTTTTGGTTCTCTTAAATTAATATATCACATCTTAAAATTTCAGCTGTTGTTGATGAAGTCCATTCACTGATAGAAAAGAGCCGAAGACTCATCATTGTTCTAAGTCAAAGTTACATGTCTAATGAGGTCAGGTATGAACTTGAAAGTGGACTCCATGAAGCACTGGTGGAAAGAAAAATTAAAATAATCTTAATTGAATTTACTCCTGTTAGTGACTTCATGTTCTTGCCCCAGTCACTAGAGCTTTTGAAGTCTCATCAAGTTCTGAAGTGGAAGGCTGATAAGTCTCTTTCGTATAACTCAAGGTTCTGGAAAAATCTTCGTTATTTGATGCCTGCAAAAAAGATCAAGCCAGGCAGGGATGAATCAGAAGTCTTGCCTGTTCTGTCATGGACTTGAGCTTTGGAAAAGCTGAATATCAGAAAGAACTCTAGATACTTGGGGATGGCGTGTATGAGCTTGTGCATAACCAAGGACTTTCATCAAAATAATGAACTGTACTCTGTGAAAATCCTACTCACAATTTGAAGATAAAACTTGTCATAAGGATGTCAGGGATCAGAGTAAACATTGAGCTGTGGTCCTCTGCTTCCAGAAGACCCTGAAATTAGAAAGAAATGGAGCTCCTTTTTTCTCTTTTTTGTAACTGGATGCAGCTGCTGATACTTGACCCAATATCTAGTGACTGTGAGGCTGGGCACCGTATGGGACGGTGGTGGATGCCTCACAAGAAGGGCACAGTTTTAAGAGTTTTTAATGCTAACAATCTCGTTCAAACTAAAGGACTTTAGGGGCATGAAGGGGCATTTTGTGTGGACCATGGTGGGTAACAGAGTAAGTGGAATGCTCCCTCCACTGAGCCCTGGTGGCACAGTGGTTAAGAGCTACAGTAAACTACAGCTGCTAACCAAAAGTTCGACAGTTTGAATCCACCACCAGCTCCTTGGAAACCCTATGGGGCAGTTCTGCTCTGTCCTACAGGGTCGCTATGAGTTGGAATCAACTCGACAGCAGTGGGTTTCTACATACCTTGGACTGTGTGTGGAGGAGAGAGCAAGGTAGAGAGGAGGCGTGTGAGCCTGCCTGGAAGTAGGTTCTCGGCCTCAGGATGCGTGTAACCGGTCCTGGCCACAGGTGCAGACCTGTGGTTCTTGGAATCCACTAAAGCACGATGAAGAGCTTCTTTAATGAGGCCTATTGTGGAAGCTTCTTAGAGGGAACCCAGTGTGCCTCTGTATCTTTCATGAAGGACAAAAATGAATAAACGTAACTAAGTACTTAGAACAGTTCTTGGCATAGAGTTAATATTCTGTAAGCGTTGCTATTTTTGTTGTTGTCGTTAGTTAGATCACTTAGGCAGCACTGGGCTAAAATGGAAACCAGAGAGCAGGAAAGGGAAGGAGATCTGGAGAGTAAGGAAGTTTTGAACTGGGAACATCTCTATAGAGAGAGAAACCTATAGGAGAAGCATATCAGTAGGGCAAAAGATGTTTCTCCATTGGACATCTGCCTCTTTGGACACTGGAAGAGTGCCTAAAGTTATGTCTGCCTCACTTACGTGACCCCAGATGTGTGGGCCTCCTTGATGGCCTCGGCAGTCATGGCTGTCCATGGAAATCATTGAGTCACTCATGAACACCAACCTTAAAGTGAAACAAGACTTGGGTAAGTATGTAACCATCAGTTTGGAAGACTGGTTAAAACACATGGGTGCACTACGAATATTCCAGAGGAGTTTCGATAGAACCTGTTTAAAACAGCTGTAGTAGGTGTTGCTGAAAATCAAAGAAGAATGAGGTTTTTATTAGATTTTCAGTGTAATAAAGTGATTTAATTGTTACAAGGCTTAAGATTTTTGAAAGGGGGCTTGTTGGTTGGCTAAACAAGTGAAAGACAATTCTATTAATAACTCTCATGTTTTATATGCTAAAATGTATTAGTGAAAATATGATTATGAAATGGAGAGAAACTGTACTGGAGTAATGGTAATCTTTAATACATAGGATGGTTTTGCTTTTCTTTCACTATGTATGTTTTAAAATAAATTAAATGAACCATTTGTTGAACTTTACTTTTGAAAAGAAAGCATTTTTATTTTTGAAATGTCTGGTGTCTTCTCCCTTACTTTAAGATTCCAGTACCTTGTTCTCACCATATATTCCCACATATTTTAATAAGATATGGGCCATTCACAGTGAACTCCCACCTCTATCTTTTTTTTAGACTTCAAATTATTTGTACCTACCTTTTTCGTTTTGCTCTCCACTCAGGAACAAAGGAAGGATTATCTTCCTTCTTTTACAAGATCTTCCAATACCCAGCACAAGGACTTAAACGTTTAATAGGTCTTCACATGCCAGTGAATTAATGTACATATTTTTAAGCTTAGGTACAAACATTCCTAACTAGGACCAACGTATTTTTAGATATCTGAACAGCCATTATCTTCTCTTACATCAGATGTCCTTAAAATCTGGAGTCTATTTCAGAGAATCAGTGAGCAATCAGATCTCTAAAATTTGTAAAGAAAAAACTCGTGTGTGTCTATCATGTGTAGAGGCATTTTATTAGAGTTATAGTCTTTTAAAGTAGAGAGGGACCTTAACCCTTTAAACCCCCTGTCGTTGAGTTGACAGAGAAGAACTGCCCATAGGGTTTCCAAGGCCATAAATCTTTATGGAAGCAGACTGCCACGTCTTTCTCCTACGGAGCAGCTGGGGGGTTTGAAATGCTGACCTTCAGTTACCGACAGAGTGCTTTAACCACTGCACCACCAGGGCTCCTGCTAGAGAGAGACCTTATTACCTACATATTCCAAACCCAGGAACTTGAGACGTGTTCAGTCCAGGGACTTGATTAAAGTCACACGACTAGCTAATGTACTGTGTCCTCTTTCTAGAACTGCCTGTTGGAAAGTAAGACTTGAGGTCAGTATTTTGGAGGCAGCAGGCACTTTTCTGGGGAGGCACATTATACTAAGAGGGGGCAGGGTCCCACAGCGATGAAGTAGGGCTGCTTAGGAATGGCTCCGAAGACAAAACAGAAGAAGTAAGAGGAACCTTAGGGTTTCTTTCTAGGCCACTAGGGTAAGAATGAGGGAAAAATTAGCACTTAAGTCCTCCACAAGAAGAAAGCATACACTTGAATGGAACAACTCAGCTGTGGAATCTGCCAAGATACAGGAAATTAGAGCCCCCAACAGGCCCTAGGGGCAAGGTGCAGCCTTCGGCCCACACTGGTTCTGAGTGGTCAGCTGCTTGGGCTTGCAGAGAGGATGAGCTTTACTGCAGCTATAAACGTGGCTGTCTGAAGCTGGGACATTGGCAAAACCAGTGCTCAAGGCAGAGGCAAGTCACAGCTTTAAATACTCAGAGGAAAGAATCTTTCTCCCTGGCCTGAAGCGCAGCTGTGAAGGAATGGGCCCAGGGTTGCAGTGGACACCATCTTTCTGAGCAGCAGCTCCCCTGAGAGACACCATCACAAGCGATGGGGAGCTCTTCAAAGGGTGGCCAAGCCAAAATAACAGGAAGTGGCATGCATGTCTAGGTCCCTCCAGTCCCACCTTCATGCCACACTGATAGTGATCACAGTTCGGGCTGGGAACTTTAAGACCAACAGCAGTATTTCTGAGACTTACGAAAACCAGCTTTTACCTTAGGCTTGTGAAAACTGGTTTTTATCTCTTTCTGGGAGATCTTGTGGGTGCACATAGCACCCAGGGAACATCACGCCCCATTTATGCAATTGCTATGATTTTATTGTAACTGTTCAATAATTAATGTTGAGTATGTTATGAATATGTTACAAATCTGTCGTGGAAGAACTACAGCCAGAATGCTTCTTAGAAATGAGGATGGGGAGACTTCTCTCACATACTTTGGACATGTGATCAGGAGGGAGCAGTCCCTGGAGAAGGACATCATGCTGGGTAAAGTAGAGGGTCAGCGAAGGAGAGGAAGACCCTCAAAGAGATAGACTGACGCAGTGGTTGCAACAATGGGCTCAAACATAGCTATGATTATGAGGACGGCGCAGGACCAGGCAGTGGTCAGAAATGACTCGACGGCACCTAACTACAACAACATGTTACTATTGTGTTTTGAGAGTCTTGAGATTCTCAGGGAGTTCCTGGATGGTGCAAATGGTTAAGTGCTAGGCTGCTAACTGAAAGGTTGAAGGAAAAGCTTTTAGGGTTTAGATTTCCTCAGAGGTGTCTCAGGGAGCATCATGCGGTAATGGAATGGAAGAGTGGAGACAAGTGTGCAGGGTCCCAAGTTCCTCCCCTGTCAACCCCCAATACTTCAACTAGAGCAACCGTGCTTTTATCCATTTTGTATATTGTTTTATTTAACAAAATAAAATACCTCTCAATTGGTCAGAGTTTATTGTACAGAACATAGTACTCTTAACTAGTTGAAAGAGAAATGGTTACAGAACGGGTTGGTACATGTAGAAAAGGTCAAATTAGTGTATGTTTTGCTGTGTATATTCTCAACAACAACAACGAAAGAAAAAAGAAAAAAGAAAGAAACAGACCCCAGGCTAAACTTCCGGGAATATCTTCTCACTTCACACAGAGAACTGGGCTGCCAAGAAGAGTTGTTGATCTTGCTACAACCAGGAAGAAACCTGCAGAATCAGGAAGCTCTTGCTACAGCTGCTGGCCTCAAAATTGCTGGAATGTTTGAGTCGATTGTTGCAGTCATTGACCCAATCCATCTAACCGAGGGTCTTCTTTGCCTTTGTTGACCCAATACCTCACCAAACATGATGTCCTCCTCCAGCAATTGATCTCTGCTGATGACGTGGCCATAGCAAGCAAGTCAGACAATGTTCGGTTGTTGTCCATAAGGTTTTTATGGACTAATATTCAGAAGTAGAATGCCAGGCCTTTCTTCCTAGTCTGTTATAGTCTGGAAACTCTGCTGAAACCTGTCTACCATGAATGACACTTCCAATATTTGAAATACTGGTGGCTTAGCTTCCAGCATCATAGCAACATGCAAGCCACCACAGTAGGGCAAACTGACAGACAGGTGGTGGGTATGAACCAAGAAAACCTCTAAAATATGCCTGAAAAATGATTGCCCTCTATGGTGAAAGTGAATTTAGAGTGATTATTTAAGATGATCCCTGAAAATGAGTGAATAAATAACTGGCTTCTTTAAAAATATGTGTGGCACAATAATTTTAAAACGTCCAGAATATTCTATTACGTTACATATTTATATTCAGTAATTACTTGCGCTGTCTTCTGAATGAAGTCTGAAGATCAATGAAGATCCTGTGAAAATATGAGGTATAACTGGGTTGAATTGTAACAAATATGCGTGAAGTTAAGCAGCCAGAGGAGAGTTGCTCTTTTTTGAGTGGCGCCAATGTCGATCACATGCTTTCTACACTGATTTTCCTTTGATAAAACCACTTTTTAAAAGCCCTCTTTAGAAATTTACAAAGGAAGGCACACGATACCCAACGCCCTTGCATGTCCATGCCTTAGGTAGACCAGATCTCTTTGAAAGCATGGCACAATCCCTGGAGCCAGGCCTGCCGAACAATGCTGGTGAACAAGCTGATTGTTCTTTTCTTTTTAAAACAAAATTGCGTTAGTTTTCTACAGTGAGTTGTCAACTAGTTAGTGGCTTTTCAAGTTGTCTCTCTTGATTTTCAATGTTATTATTGTGAAATGTAGAATAAATATGACCAAGAAGGAATTCAAACTTACATTAGGTGAAGCGATAGAAAAGAGAGCACCTGTGCTTTATTTAGCTTAACTTTTTCGAAAATTTTATTAGGAAACATTTGAAACATACAGAAGAATGAGAAGAAATGCGCAGTAAGCACCTACAGATTGACAGTCCATTTAAGATGGCAATTTCTCCTGCCGTATGTTTTTACTGGATTGTTTTTTTTTTTTTGTAGTAGTATTTTTGCGTCATGACATTCCTCTCAAATCCTTCAGCATGAATCTCCAAGAAATAGACGTTTTTCTACATAATCACAATACAATTACTAACATTAAACGAAATTAGCAGTTATTTCCTAGTGTCATATTCTATAAAGATGTTCGTTAACACTTGGATCAAAACAAGAATCTTGCACTGCAGTTGGTTATCGTACTCTTCAATCTCTTCCAGTCCAGGCTAGCTACGGCCGCTAACCAAAACGCTGGCAGTTTGAATTCACCAGGTGCTCCTTGGAAGCCGTATGGGGCAGTTCTACTCTGTCCTATGGGGTCGCTATGAGTCAGAATCGACTCGATGGCAGCAGGTTTGGTTTGGTTAGTTTTATCTCCCCCTTGGCCCTTTGTTGTGCGGTGGTTAAGAGTTCGGCTGCTAACCAAAAGGTCGGCAGTTCAAATCCACCAGCCACTCCTTGGAAACCCTATGAGGCAGTTCTACTCTGTCCTATAGGGTCGCCATGAGTAGGAATCAACTTGAAGGCAACAGGTTTGGTTTTGGTTTTATCACCCCCTTACGCACACACACAGCTTTTAACTTTTTATATCATGACATTGATTAAAGGGATCAGGTCAGCTGTTTTACAAATTGTCCCACATTCTGGATTTTTCTGATTGATTGCTTATAGTATCTTTAATTTTTCCTCTATCCTCTTCCCTCTGTCTAAAGGCTCGATTAGATTCAGGATGGACATTTTTGACAAGAACACTTCAGAAGTGGTTCTGTGTAATTCACGTTGTTTCACACCAGGAGTCACCTAATGCCTGGCTGGGCCACCACCGGTGATGATCAGTTTGGTAACTGGGTTAAAAATAATGTTTTAAAGGTACACTTCTCCCCTTTGCAATTAGCAAGTCCCGTGTAGGTGATTCGGTACAGTGTGCATATCAGGTTCCCCATCAACATTGTACTTAGTTGCGTCAGCATCCACGGATGAGCTTGCCAGAATGAATTAAGGCTAATTAATTAATTAATTAAGGTCGCTAAGCAGTGGTTTTCAAGACCTATTAATTATTCTATATTTATTATCTGACAGTCTTTGGAAAACAGAAGCTTGTCCTTAACAAGTGGGCTATTTGGTTACACAGAACTACAGTTCTTACTGAAAGAATAGGATAATTGCTTTATTAAACAAACACACAGCAACAACAAAAAACCCAAACCCACTGTCGTTGAGTTGATTCCAACTCACAGTGACCCTATAAAACCAAAGCCAAACTCATTGTCATCGAGTCAACTTCGACTCATAGCAACCTCGTAGGACAGAGTGGAACTGTCCCATAGAGTTTCCAAGGCTGTAATCTTTATGGAAACAGACTGCCACATCTTTCTCCCGAGGAGTGGCTGGTGGGTTAACCGCCGACATTTCAGTGAGCAGCTGAGCACTTAACGACTGTGCTGCCAAGGCTCCTTAACGGCTTTGTTATCTCCCTTATTACCAGTTTTCAGAGTAAATAATTGGTATGTCAGTCACCTCCGCTGATGACAAAGACAAACAATGTTTAATTGTTTCTCATTTTTCAGCATCATTGTGGGCTCGTGGCTTTTCATATATTTGTTTTATTTATAATAGTTGTTATTTTTTAAATTAAGGGTTTAATTGAGCAATAATTGACAGACAATAAATTTAAGTATTCACAGTGTAAAATCTGATAAGTTTTAACCTATGTGTACACCTGTGAAACCGTCACTATGATCAAGATAACTATCATCTTCAAAAGTTTCTTTCCGCCCCCCTTGCAATCCTGCCCTCTCAGCTCTGCCCACCTTACCGCCCCCCCAACCCATGGTCTGCTTTATGGCACTATAGATTAGTTTGCATTTTCAAGAATTTTATGTAAACAGAATCATGCAGTCTGTATGTATTTAGGTCTGACTTTTTTCATTCGGCATTATTATATTGAGATTCATTTATATTTTTTAATATATCAGTAGTTCATTCCTTTTTATTGCTGAGTATCATCCCATTGTATGGAGATACCACAATTTGCTGATCCATTCAGCTGTTGATGAACAGGTTGTTATTTTCCAGTTCTTGGCTGTTACAAATAAAGCAGCTGTGAACATGTGTACACAATTCTTGGTATGGATGTATGCTTTCTTATCTCTTGGATAAATACCAAGACATGGAATGACTGGTTCATAGACTAGGTGTATGTTCAACTTTTTAAGAAACTGCCAAACTGTTTTCCAAAGTGGTTCTACCATTTTACATCCTCACCATCAATGTATGAGGAACTGGTACTCTCATACTCTGATGCACTTGGAGGGATTATTATTTTTTGATGCTCAAATCATCCAAATTTTTGTCACTCAACTGCTGAAAATTAAAAACCTATCATATATTTTGCAGAGATGATTGTGGAAATTCTGTCAGTAATCTCCCAAGGAGTGCATGGCAGATGTGAGGGTTTCAGATGACTGACATATATTCTGATCTTTAAAGGGAATATTTTTATGCAAACAAAGACAAAAACCACACCCCAAAAAGAAAAAAGTCACAAGCTCTGGAGACAGCAGATAGAGAGAAAAGCAGAATCAAAAAGAGAGAGATTCCTGTTTCCCTCACCAATTCCCCCACAGCAAGGAAACTGCTACACTAAATTTCACACCTGAAAAATGTTGAATTGGCATTAGACGGGCCCATAAAACAA